GTTTATATCCTCTCCCAACCCAGGTTCTCGTTTGTAAGCTAATTTAACGATTAGTGAACAAACTTGTAACAATACTTTTGACCACGACTATATAATTACTCTTCTACAAGGATTACTTTATAAGTGATTCGTTTTATTTTATTCTTTGATTTTATTCCTCTTACTCAGCTATTATTTTTTATTAATCTTTGTAGAATGCATTTGTTTGTCACGAGACATATCGTTCTGTCCGATGAATCAGGTGATATCCAGTCTTATATTTATTCACGTGTGTAATATGTATAAAAGAGTATCTTGCTATTTTTCGATGGATCACCTTTTACGGTTGTACATCTATCTAGTCAAATGGTTAGTAATGGATAGGGAAAGAAGAAAGAACTGTATACGTCCATTTTTTCATGGAGAAAGAAATAGAGAGATAACGCGTTTTTTTCTTTTCTTACTTTCAAGGAAGGAAAATACATGTTTTTTCCTCCCTCACTCTTCAAAGAAGGAAGAAAAATAACGCGTTTTTTCTCTTCCCTCACCTTTTATCATTCAAAAAAGGAAGAAAAATAACGCGTTTTTTCTCTTCTCTCACCTTCTTTTGCCTTTCAAGAAAGAACGCACTCTTTCTTTTTTATTTTTCTTTATTTTATGTAACTAATAATAAAATATTATATAGATATGGAGTTTCTTATCCAAAGATTCGCGTCTCTAACATTATCCGATACTCTGGAACCTGAACATATAGAAGCACTAAGAAAAAATATTTTCAATAGTAATGATAATAATCATTATCATCATCGCCGTCATCCTACTCTCCCTGTTCTTTCACCTCTTCCACCTTTTCCATCTCAATCTCTTCCGCCTCATACTACTAAATTAATGGATCCAGTAATATTAATTCGCAAAAATGATAATAATAATAATAATAATAATAATAATAATAATAATAATAATAATAATAATAATAATAATATACAAAAAAAAACTCTTTTTCGCATCTTGACCACGTAGATCCCTTGACCGTGGGCTAAGCCACAGTACAAGTTCGAAAAAGTTCTTT